CTTTAAGGCCGAAAATGCATTGAAATCACACATTTTCACCATTCCGGACCTGGATCTCAGTTATGCATGGACGGATTTTGTTCAAATTTGGTACATACATTAAACATAATAGGACCTTGATGCACGTCATTTTTTTTTCCGGATCAAGTTCGAAATGGCCGACTGGCGGCCATTTTGTTTTAAAGAATTCAGTTCTGGATCCGTATCCGAGACATGTCTGGATTGATCAAGTTCAAACTTCACACACACAAGGTACATCATGTCATAAATATGTATGTGCATTTGTTTCATGATCTCATTAACGATAGCCAAATGGCGGCCGCTTTAAGGCCGAAAATGCATTGAAATCGCACATTTTCACCATTCCGGACCCGGATCTCAGTTATGCATGGACGGATTTTGTTCAAATTTGGTACATACATTAAACATAATAGGACCTTGATGCACGTCAATTTTTTTTTTGGATCGGGTTTGAAATAGCCGACTGGCGGCCATTTTGTTTTAAAGAATTCAGTTCTGGATTCGTATCCGAGACATGTCTGGATTGATCAAGTTCAAACTTCACGCACACATGGTACATCATGTCACAAATAGATATGTGCATTTGTTTCATGACCCGCTTAACAATAGCTGAATGATGGCCATTTTAAGGCCGAAAATGCATCAAAATCACGTATTCCAAAACCGGATCTCAGTCATGCATGGATGGATTTTGTTCAGATTTAGTACAATGTGTTGTACATATACAGGTGCATTTCGGTCATGATCTGCTTTGAATGTATATGTCACTCAAATATGAACGGAACGGGGACGTGTCATTGACAATGACTTGTTGGTTTCTTTTCGTCACCTTTTCCAACTGTATTTCGCTTCCCTCATGCATGTCGTGTTCATTTTTATGTTTTATCTATGTATTTAGAAATTGATAGATGTAATGACAGCACCAGAGGCTTGCTGTTTTGTCTCCTCGTTTTTCGAGGCGACTGTGCAGTGGTTATAATCAGAATTTACCAGCATAGAACCTGCATCTGAAATGCTATTTTTGCTGTGACTGCGTGCAGGGTTCGGGGTTTTTGCCTTGAAGACGTGGGTTTTTCACTGGAGTTCTGAGGCCTGGGATGTTTTCCAGAGCCATGCAAAATCGCTGAGACTGACCGCGTCCCTCGTATTTTCACAGCAAGGTCGCACGTCCAGTAAAAATTGGTTAAAGTGAGTTGCATGTTGGCATGAGTGGAAAGTCCTCACACTCGACTACCGCTACTTTGTGTACTGAGACGTTGAGTAGGAGGCCCGACGGTGGACGTACACAGTCTGTTTTTTCAGGCGGTGGTTTACCCAATTTTTACCGGCACCAGCAAGGCTGTGCCCCTGGAGGTCTTTCCTCCTATGGGGCCCATTGCGGGTGCTTCTGTGGATCCGTCCTTGCACGGCGCCGGTTTGCCTCTGAGATGAGGGCTTTGGTTGAAGGACTGTCTGGGCAAATTGCGTCCCTGGAAGTCCAGGTAGATCAGATGCAGTCGGGCCGAGCTGTCTCCACTGCGGCCTCTCGACCAGCAATCAGGGAGAAACACAGAAAGCTTGCTCGCATTAAAAACGTATCTCTCCGGGGATCCCCCCATTCCCAGCCATGACTCTCCCATTGATTTGGGTGAGGCTGAGGCTAGTTGCACCGGGTCCCCTCCAGGACCTCAGGCACTGAATGCCAACTGGGATGCTGGCAGCCAAGCCTCTGATTTCGGGACAGGGCTTTCAGGTCAGGGCAGGTTGCGCCTCCCCCCTACTACTCAGGAATTTACCCTTGAGTCTGGGCTCCGCTGTAGGTTTGACTCCCTTCTTGCCGACCCACGGGCATCCTCAGAGGGAACCGACCCTGTCATGAGATGTTGGTCAGCCACGGAGGAGGTAACGCCTCGGCCCCCGGGTGGGGTAAATCTTATGCAACTCTTTCCGCTGAACCAAACGCTACCTGGTCGGTGTGGTTTCGGGATCAGACCCCAAAGTGTGGGATGAGACCCAAACACCCCCAACCAGATCCCAAGGCTCAGCCTGAGACCACCCATCACGCCCTGAGGGCAGAGTTGCTGAGGTGCTTTATTGTGCACCCCCAGGACCTCAGAGGCAGAATGCCCCAGCCTCCTAGACAAGGCGACACATTTACTGGTGGTCCACCGCACAGCTACGTGCGACATCCTCCAGTGTTACCTGGCTCTCCTGGCCGGGGCTACCACCGTGCAACAAGACGCGGTCTTAGATGCTTGTCAGGGAGTACGTCACTGCCTCAGTCACGCAGGCTGGACATCTTCCACTCTCTTTGATGTGGAGATGGCGGGTGTAGTCCCGGAGCTTCGGAGTGCAACGAACTGGAAGGTTCAGGTCGAATCTGCTAGCCAGTTGGCCACTGCCAAGGATAAACAGAGGGCGCCCCAAGCACAGAAAACACATCGCCCTAAGGTGACGTCCGATAACCAGAGTCAACCAGGAGGCAAGCACTCATACCCTTTCGCGGGAGGGAAAAGTAGCGGCGTGATCCCAGGGAAGAAGGGACTAGGTGGTGGCTCCTCATCCTCCTTGGGCGGTCGTCCACCCTGGCAGCGGGGAAGCATGTTTGACGCTTACCTTTTGTGACCGGGGGCATGTGTTCGGTGAGTGGCCAGGTCACAATTTAGTGACTACTTCAGGCCTTGGTGAA